CAGATTATCAAATTCTGCAAGAAGTCAGAGTTTTGATAAAGAAATACACTGAAGATTATAATATCTTACAACTGAAGATTTTATCATTGTATAGTAGCATAGATCACTGTCTATCATAGCTTTCATATTATACATGTTATCAATCACAGTAGATACAAGAATTGTATTCATTATTATCTTCTCTTTAAATTATTATCATCTGACCTCTTCAAGCTTCTGTTTACAAATTTGAACAGAAGCTAATCTTTTTCCTGTTTCATTGAGATATTCTTATAGTTATCTTTCAAATCTTTCTTCACTGTAATGTAATTGATGCGGACAGACACTGATCTTTCTCTCAAGTGTGAAGATACATAGATTCATTAGTAGTTGAAAGTAATATGTTCTGATCAGTTACAGTTGATGTACACTTCATATTAATATTGATCAGTGACTTCTTCAGAAGTGATTTCAGAGACTTAAAAGTCTGTTTAAACAGTGAAAACTCTTGCTTATGTATAGACATTTGAATCTATTCAGTTCATGACCTCTGTATCATTATTCTTCAGTGTGAGTGTATGAGTGACTAAGATGTAATGTCTTCTGTCACTGTTCTGTATACTCTTAAGCTTGATAAGACAGTCATTCAATGTTCAGAGCTGTGTGCAGAAGTCTTCATAAGTCTGATCTTTATCTACACTTATAAGAGTCTGTAAGAGTTTGAAAGTTAATATCTTCTTAAGCATGCTAATCTTTATTCAATTCTCTCAAGATTAATCATCTGCTTCTAGAATCTTAGTGTTAAAGTGAGAGATAAATGTTATAAGAGAAATATTTCTCTGTCAGATACTCTGTAATTAATCTAATACTTTCTATTACATAGCAGTGTCTTGAAACAGAATATCAAGATATCTTATAATATTGTCAGATATTTATAACACTGATTCACATGCTTTCATTCATGAATAAAACTTCTGTTTCATATGATTCTTCAATTGTTCATTAATATACTAATCTTGATTAATTAATAAACTGATGAAATCTTCATCTATACTCAGTTTCATAAGCATTTTCATCCTTCATGATAAGTAGAGAGTGAGATTGAAAGCATTAAAATATACAGAAGTATCTAAGCATTCTTTCAGCACTTTTATATTCAATTCTGTAGATGTTGAAATTGCATGAGTTAATTATTAAATCTCTTTATATTGAAGTTATTGAGTTGCATGTATATCAGATATTTATTACTATTGTAATTTCAACATTACTCAGAGTCACTGTGATATTATATTTATACTTACATTTAAGAGTTTCATATTATTATTAGACATGATTATATTGATTATTAAATGTGTAATATCTGTGAAATCTGAAGAAGTATAATTATATTCTTATATATCTGAGTGTCAGAACTCTCAGATCTTTCACTGATATTCTCTTATAAAATCTTATTCTCTTTATAAGATTTTATTACAGAGTTAGAGTGACTGATAAGTAAGCTTCTATCTGAGAACTCAGTATTCACTTAACTGTTTAACTGTTTCTCTATTTCTTACATGTCTTTATATGTTTAAATATCTCTCAGTGAATAATCATTTCTAATAAGAAGATAATGTATGAATAATCATTTTCTAATAAGAAGACAATGAATATTTTTATAGTATAAGAGACCTACACTGAATAGATCAGTATTATATTAATAGGTCTTATTTAACAAAGATAAAAACATTAAAGAAGGAAAGAAAGAGAAAGTGTGAGAATCAGCAATCAAGATAAATATATATATGTGTATGTGATGGTGTACGCAGTGAAGCTTCAGAGTGGAAGAATATACACGCATTTGTAGTGACTGAGAATCAGTGATCAGAAATGGCTGAGAATCGGAGCATATATTAAGCGCGTTTGTAGCGGCCGAGGATCAGCGATCGGGAATGAAAGAATCTATAGAGTGTAATGAAATAGTCTATATAATTGATCGGGCGCAGCCCGCCACATATAGTCTGTTAAAACAGCTATATACTATTTTTTAATAATTTTATTTTATTATAGTCTCTTTTTACTGTACTTTTTCTTTTCTATTCTTTTTATCTACTTATTCAATGTGTCTGTCTTTAAGACTTTAATCTCTTTTATTTTATCATGATATTTTCAAATGATTTCAAAGTATCAGAAGATGTTAAAATACTGTAATTTATAAAGAGTTTTTATATTCTGAGCTGAAATTTTCTGATTTTATATATCTGAAATTAGACTGACTGTGTGACCGTGTCTGAGATCAGAATCAGAATATTTGATAATCTTATTATCAATTCAACTGATTTCATTACACTGTTTTAATATTATATAGTAGTCTTATACTGTCTCAGTGAGACTTACTGTCTACTTTTATCATATTTTTCAAATAAGATTATAATTTTCACTTCTTAATTTAAATTATTTTTATTACTTTAAATGACTTTAAATCTTATTTAAGTGTTATTAAAAAGTGTTACTTTTTAAAAAATTAAAAATAGTTTAAAAAAACCTTAAAATATCTAAAAATAGTAACTTTATATCAAGAATGAGACTAAATAAGATTAAATAAGATTACTTTCTTATTTTTTCTAACTTATAATCTTATTTTAAGATCTGATATATAGTTACTTTACATGTTTTTTTAATAATTAGTCTCAGTGAGATTCATATTAAGAAATGTATAAGATCAGATTAAATAAGATTAAATGTGAAATTTATAGTCTCAGCAGCTAGTCTATCTGAAATTGATAAATGTATAATAGTTAACTTTATAGATATTAGAAAAACTCTGAGAATTAAAAGTTCTCAGATAAATATTATAGTCTCTGACTATATACATTTATAATTGAAGAATAATAATAATAATAATCAAAGTATTAGAAGATGTTAAAATACTGTAATTTATAAAGAGTTTTATATTCTGAGCTGGAATTTCCTGATTTTACATATATGAAATTAATACATGTATAATAGTTAACTTTATAGATATTAGAAAAACTCTGAGAACTAAAAGTTCTCAGATAAATATCATAGTCTCTAATTATATACATCTATAATTGAAGAATAATAATAATAATAATACTTGAAATTATTAATAAAGAATATTAAATTTATATAAAAGAAATAGTATTTTAAATATTGAATTTTTTTAATAGATAGTAATAGCTTGCTGAATATACTCTTTAATATTTTCATCTTTATTCAATATTGTGATGATTATTAATTAATTAATAAAGATGAAGATTAAGAATTTACAAGATTTTTATCATTTCAATGTTTTTATCATTTTAATATGATGCACTTACTAGAGGTGAGTGAGTTAGCAGTGACATGATGAGTGAGTATCTCATTCGCAGAGCAATCTCAGATTGAAAAAACATTTCCCCAGGCTTCTCTACACATATGAGTGTTCAGAGCTTTTTTCAATCGTTTGACAATGGTATTATATTGTTCATTTAATTACATCTTTCTTTTAATTCTTCTTTTATACCTTTCTTTTGATTCTCTTCTTTGATATATGTGACTTTTTCAATCTCTTCTTTCATTATATGCAACTTCTTCTGTTTGTTATTCATATAGATTGTTGAATGCAAGCAGTGCGGCACGCGTATAACAACATCAGTTTAAGATAAACTTAACTCAGATAATGAGAGAAAGAAGCCGGAGAAATTTTCAGCCTTTTGATGATGATGATGATGATGATGATGATGATGATGAGCAAGCATGTTTTTTTCGTCGGATTGAGGCCATTTTCAGTAGAGAAAGGTTGGTTCCAAGTGTCCGGGTCAGCTGGCTCCTCCTCATCTTGGAGTGAGTAGTATGACATTCCCAAATAAAATGCCTATTGTTGAAATGTAAAAAGAAGAAGAGAACAAAATGTGATAAATATACATATGTGTATATACAGATTTGTGTATATTGCATGTATCAAGACAAGTTAAGTGTGCTTTCTGTATATTAATTTTCATTTTCATACACATACTTTCTCCACAGCCGGTTCAATTTTCCACTCGATCCAATCCAATCCAATTCAATCCGATCCGATACAATCCAATTTCCGCCGGGGATTTTCTTCGAAACATCCGATGAAAAAAGGGTAATAATGAGGGAAAAGGGAAAAAAGAAATACAATAAAATTAGGGTGCACATGACAAAATGAATAGAAGGGGGATGTGGTATATATGAGAGATGATAAGAACAAAAAAGCATGGAGAAGTAAAATAAAATAAAATAATAAACACCGAAGGCCAAGATCGAAAACACTCATAATAGGCATAAAAGTCAAAGGTTTTAGTTTAGGATAAAAGAAAAAGAGAATGAAAATGAAAATGAAAAAAAATGATAGGTACATTGGGGGAGAGAGAAGGGTGGCAGGTGAAAAGGGGGACAAAAATATACTTGCAGAAAAACAAATCGCTCAATGTAAGAAACATTGAAATGAATTCCTTCACAGGTTTCACCCCAAACACCCTCCCCTCATCAACCTCCCGCCCCCGCTACTTCTCCATCCTCAGACATCTCTCCACGACTTCTGCCCCCCAGGGCCCCTCCCAGGCTGCAACACACTCGGAGGCCCTTGCTCCTGCGGTGGCTGACCATGCTGCGCACCAGGTAATACCTGATCGTAACCACCTAGTGTCGACGAGCAGGGTGGTGGCGGGGTGTTGGGTACTGAATGCGGTGAGTAGGCTGTGTATGACTGGTTCTGGTTCTGGTACCGTGGTGAGTGATGCGTTGGCGAGTGCGCGTGTGGCTGCGAATGCAGCTTGTGTGGGCGAATGCTGGCGGAGGTGCTGGAGTTGCGGGACGGGGTTGTGAGGGTGGATAGGGAGAGTATGAGCGGCTGACGGGTGGGGAGGGGGAGTGGGAGACGGGCGTTGGGGGGTATTGCCGTGGTAGTTCGATGGGGTTTGTAGGGGGCGGGGGCATGGTTGTGTGTGTTGTTATGGCGTTGGGCATTATTGAGGTGGTTGTTGTGGGGACTTCAGTGTAAGGGGGGTAGTGGTTCATATGGCCGGGGCTAGGGCTTCGGGGTACGGGGTGGCTGGTTGCGACGCCAACGGCGCCGACTTGGCCGAATGGTTTCCTGGGGATGGGGTTCGGGCGATGTTGCTTGTTGCTTCTGTGCCCCGGTACCCGTCGAAGGCCGGCGGGTAGGCGGGGGACGTCGGGGTTCCCTCGTAGTAATTGTTACCGCCGTCGCCCATGTTGTTGTTGTTATGGCGCATGGGACGGCTGAAGCTCTGGGGGTTGAAGCTCTGGCCTGTAGCAGGATCCAAGCGGTTCATTTCCACGTCGTGGCATGGGGAGGGATCTTCGATGCGACGGGTTGGGGCGGAGTCCCAGGTTGGCATTTGGGGGAGGGCGTCATCGTTGGCCTTTGCGCGGGGATGGGCAGTATCGAACTGGGCGAATTTAGCTGGATTGGAGCGGTGGGAGTCATAGACTGGGGGCGCGGGGGGCGGTTGGTAGCCCGTGGAGAGACGGCGGTTTTGATTGGTATAGGTGGAGTGTTCGTCGGCGTATTTGGCGCGGTTGCGCGAGTTGTCTCTGGAGGAGGAAGGGCAGCAGCAGCTACAGCATGCACAGCAGCTCTTACAACATGTGTAGCCGCAGCAGGCGCACGCGATTATGCTCCAGAGTGCCCCAATCAATATGAGGCCGCCTATGATAATGCCAACGATGACGGGCCACCTGCATCGATTGATGAGCATTAGTTTTTATATATATATTTTCTCACTTTCAAAATTTCCAAAGCTTGGGAAACGTACTTGCAGTATGACTTGGCCATGCAATTATCCCAGCTAGAGAACGTTGTCCTGATATCCCTACGCTGGAGTATTGCGTCCGGGCGGAACAGGGTGAACTCCCCCAGATCCATGCCAGCCATGGCGAGGGACAAACGTCGAAGTAGAGTATTCTTTTATATGGTGAATTAAGAGGTCGTATGTATATGTACCATGTAGATACCATGCAGATAACAAGACTGGCCGATATCACAACCCGGAGCGCATTGATAATGTTTCGATCGGCACAGAATGCTCCTTTGGGGTGGGGGGGTCCCTGGCGGCGGTTGCAGAAAACAATTTGAAACTGGAAAAGGGCAAACGTCGTGGACAAGAGATGACGGATAGAGAGAGACGGCGAAAATAATGGACGCTATGGAAGCGAGTGAATAGTGCGAATATTGTATCTATCTATAGACCAAATTACCGCGTCCTGGAAATGTATCTGGGGTGGAAAAAAAGTGTGAAGGTATAGTCGCAGGACTTGTCATGCAGTGGGATTAGGTTGCGTAATTGGAGGCTTAGTTGCTTAGTTGCGTGGAGGAGTATTGCCGCGGTATCAAGGATGAATGAATTGAGTTGAAGAGGAGGAATAAAGTTGGAATGACAGACGTAGGTTGGGTGGATGAGAGAGAAGAAAAGGAATGGCAGAGGGCAGAGACTGAACTCAAGTCAAATGGTGGTGAAGTCTAATAATGATCCAAAAAAAGAACAGTCTCTGTCCTAGACGGAATCGGCGGAACTATATCCAACTGCAATACGAGGCTTGAGGAGCCTCTTTCACCAGCAAATTCCACCAGAAACTAAGAATAAAAAATGCTACAGACGAAGAAAGAAAGAATAATAATAAATGTGTAAATAAAAGAGAAGAGAGGAGAAGAAGAAGAAGAAGAAAAAAGGTGGGAAAAGGTGAGCAGGGCCGATCAGCGAAACACTCAAATTTCCCTTGTTTCAACTCCTTTTTACTTTTTAATATTTAACGATTTATTTTATTTCTCCCTTTCCTGAATCACCAACCACTGCAACCAGCCACATTTCTCTCTCCATCGAGTCTGGCAATCTTTACTCTTAACTATAGTATCTCACAGCATTCGTCTTCGTCGTCCGTCTATCTCCTCATGTGCGGTGTTTCCCCTCTTTTGCCCTATTCCTCCTATTCCTCCTTCCTGGTGCCTATTATTTTTAGCGTTTTTAAAGCCCCCAGCACTCCGATGTTTACTACTGAGTACGGAGTCTATGGTTCAACAGTCCTTCGTCACGGCAGTGCGTTGAAAGCCACGGTCTAATCTCCCGCTGACGCTGCACAGAAATATAATTCTTTTCCTTTCAACACGCCAGAGGATTTAGGGGAGATAACTAACTGTGGATTTGGTGCAGCCGCTTGTACAGTTATTTTGAACTCCAATAATAATAAAAAGTGAGGTCTTTCATATCAATATCAGCCGCCCGTTCCATACACCTGTTTTGATTTCAATCTTGAAAATATAAGGGCTTGATTGATTGATTGATTGATTGATTATATCTTTAAGTTGGTGTCTACATCCCGTAAGGGCGCTATGCAACTGGTCTCGATCTAGCCTAATTAGGTATCTTAAACAGGGCCCGGCAGGGTCTCATGTGCTGTCACACAAATATAGTTCTTCAATGCCTTGGTGTCACAAAGCAAAACAACTGATATAAGCAGTATAAACAGTACAAACAGTATAAACAAGCAAATAAATAAACAGACAGATGCCTTGTAAAGGTTATTAACTAGATTTAAGTACAGATTCAAGTTATTCTTATAGAGATATAGAGAGAAGAGTTTCTATACTATTTAAATCTTCAGACTTTAGAAGTCTTTATCTGAAGCTGAGTATATCTATAATATTGAGAATAATCTATGTAATTAGAGTTTCTTCTCTATATCAGACTCTGTTAAGTTATTTACATTAATAATATAATAAAACTGAATAAGTAGTTCAGTTTTATAAAGAAATTACACAGTCTTTTTAATCTATATTAATATAATCAGTACTCTGTTTAAATATAGTAAGATTAATTCTTCAGCTGTTAAAATACTTCTATAAAGTATACTGTAATTAAAGTATTTAAATAGAATATATTAAACTATTTATCTTTTCTCTTCTAAGTATATATAGTGTGAGTCTTCAATCTTCTTAATAAAGTAAAGATACTTATATAGATATATCTTATCTATTCTCATTTATATAAGTATAAAACTTAGATCTCTTAATAGACTCTTGTAATATTTAAGTATTTTCTTTATTAATTATCAGTGTAGTCTCTTTAATACTGTCTTATAAGATAATACTTATTATCTCTCTTCTTATCTTATCTTCAATTAATCTGTAATCACTGTCTTTCTCACTACTACTAGAGAGTAAAGTGATAAAGTCAGAGAGAGTTCTGACTTATTATATTATTAATTTAAGATACTCTCTCTTCATTCTACTATCTTCTTCACTTTATAATTAGTTATCTTATTTCTTAGAACTTCTATGTATATTGAGATTTATCTAATCTTTATCATACTCTTAAACTTATTATATATTATAATAATAAGTCTTAGAATCTTCTGATCTGACTGTCTTACTAATATACTTACTATTTATATAATTGTTTAATTATTAGTAAAGATAATACTTCTTCTGAATAACTTCTCTAAATTCTTATAGTCTTGAATAATTTAAAGTATTATAAGTATACTGTAGAGTTTCTCTGTATAGACTGTATATTAAGTATTTAACTCTAAGTAGCAGATCTTCTCTCTATTTATAAATAAGAATATTACTGAGATATCTATACACTTTATTATTCTATTACTATCAGTATATATAAGATAAGCTGTACTCAGTACTATCTTATTATACTACTTTATAATAGTTAGAGTGTTAGAGACAATGTATATTTTAACTGAGATTTATTATAGAGATATTATATATACTGTCTATATCTTCTAATCTCTTAGATTATAAGTAGACTGACTGTGTGACCGTGTCTGAGACCAGAACCAGATTTTTTGATAGTCTTATTATCAATTTGACTGATCTCATTACACAGTTTTAACATTAGATAGTAGTTTTATACTGTCTCAGTGAGACTTACTGTCTACTCTTATCACATTTTTCAAATGAAACTGTGATTTTCACTTCTCAATTTAAATTATTTTTATTGCTTTAAATAACTTTAAATCTTATTTGAGTGTTATCAAAAAGTGTTACTTTTTAAAAAATTAAAAATAGTCTAAAAATAGTAACTTTATGTTAAGAATGAAACTAAATAAGATCAAATGAGATCACTTTCTCATTTTTTTCAAGTTATGATTTCATTTTAAGATCTGATATATAGTTACTTTACATGTTTTTTTAATAGCCAGTCCCAGCGGGATTCACACCAAGAAATGTATGAAATCAGATCAAATGAAATCAAATGTGAAATTCATAGTCTCAGCGGCCAGTCTAATTATAAGAATATAGCTTTTTCTATTAATCTAGTAAATAGTATAGTAATGTATTCAGAGTCTCTAATTTTTTAATAAGAGTACTTATATCTCTAATCTTTTAATTATTAGCTAGTCTCAGTGCAGCTGTGTTACTAAGCATCTTAAGTATTAAATCTATGAAAGAGATATTATATTTAATATTTAATATATTATCTATTACTGTTTTAAAGATATCTAAGATAATTTTATCTACTCTCTTTTAAACTCTTCTAAGTATGAATACTATCTTTAATATTATTAAGACTTATTTAATTATGTTCAGAGTATTACACTGAGAATATATAGATAAATTAAAACAGTATAATTATAATATATAACAGGCACAGATTCTCAAGACTTATCTCTTATAATAATAACTGAATACTACTCAGTACTGAGAGATACTTAAAGATCTTATCTTTCTGAGTATTAATATAGACTTTTCAGTTCAGTCTCTGATTCAGTATATCTCTCAGATACTTATACTATTCTATAAGTATAATATCAGTTTTCTCACACTGTATTAAGATGTTATAATCTTCTAAGTTATTAATTATACAGTGTCTTCTATTCTTTATTCATAGATTAATAAAGTGAATCAGATTATATTTCTTAAGAGTGAAAACTGAGATGATCTTCTCTGCTCAGTTCAGTGTAAATTAATTATAAACTTACTGAAGTCTCTATATATTATATTTATATATAAGCTCTGTGACTATTAATTCTATATTATTTATATAGTCTGTAGCTTCTGTATTATTAGTAGTATATATTTTCAGAAGTATTACATTGTAGAACAAGTATAGAATAAAGAATATAAAGAACTTCTATAAGATATCAGTATTAATAAAAACTTCTCTAGATAATACTCTGAGAGTTTCAGCTCTGTGTAATATTTATTCAGAAAGCTTTTCACTTATTAAAGTAATTTTAATTTAACTCTTCTTATTCTAAGCTTGTGAAGTAGATGAATATATAATATATTATTATAGATATCTGTAATATTTAGAAATAACTCACTGATTACTTTGTTTTTATTTTATACTTTATAAATACTTTTCTATAGAAGATGTAAGATTACTTCTATTAATATTATCTTGAGTTCACTCCTATAACTTACTGACAGCAGAGTGTATTTCACAGTTAGATAGCTCAGTCTTACTACTATAATTACTTTCAGTATTTTACTCATGATATTTAACAGTGCTATAAGTCTATAGAGTTTGAGTGTTATATAGTTATTTTTATCTAACTTTCTTAGAATAATAATTATAACTTTTCAGAACTTTATGAGATGATACTCTGTAATTAGATATGTATTAAGTAGTTTAATTAAGTAAGCTTCTATTTAAGAATATATTATCTGAAGTATATAGTTAAGAATACTATCTGATTCTGAGATCTTGTATACACTTACTTTTATAACTACTTTCTTAATCTCAGTAGCACTTATTATTGAAGTTATTATAAGAATTAAATACTTACTTAATTTTACATTCTATAGACTTACTTCTCTTAATACTAAGAAGAAGAACTTCATAACAAGTATGACTTTTTTTCTGAAAGTGATAATCTTTATTTCTTAATATCAGAGTTCTGAGATTAGAGTATTCAGATTGT